AAAAAAAAACCTGCTCCCTTTCCTTTCCTGCATTCAGAATATATTTTCAAGAAAAAAACACATTTCATAAATTGAATTAAATTAAATAAAAAAAAAAAAAACCTGCTCCCTTTCCTTTCCTGCTCTTGGCTGAGCTTTAAGTGATAGCTGTACTGGGAATTTTTGTGTTATCAGGGTACAAAGTGGCACTTGAGCTAATGTAAACAACTAAGCAATACATCTTATGGTGGACAGAGTCTACTATTAGAGGATAGGAATATACTGTTCATATCAATGAGTTCTTGAAGGATTTCAAGTACACTGCTATTGCTCTAGTTCAGTTTTTTGAAGCACATCACTGCATACAAATGTTCAGAACACTGACTCTTTATCAGTTTAGGAAGTTGGTTATCTCAGTTAGGGGAATTTTTTTTACCAAGAGAAGCCAGCAGAGCAGATGTGTGGGCTGTACTGCACAGCTTGGTTTAACCAGCAATGTTAGTCTTATATTTTGCAGTACTGTGTGCCCAAATACGTGCAAGGGAAAATACAGTCCACAAACTGTCCTGAGGTTCTATCACATCAGCAAAGCTAAGTATTCTTTGTAAGAACAGAATGTCTTGCTCAGATTTTCAGCTCTAATCTCCCTCTACAGACAAACTTCAGCAAGTGAAGTATAGTTCTCATTCAGTCCAGAGTGTATTTTTAGATGGCTGTGCAGAGATCTCTCCAGTGAAGGGATTCAGTTCTACAGGGAAATAAAGTGAGGCCATCTGAAATTTAACCTGTTTGTCCACAGTCCCTAAAGAACCAGGAAAACACAACTTCTCTTTAATGAGGGTGAAGTCACTTGCATGCTGATGGAAGGATGTTGTCTTACCTCTCCCAGTGACTGTCCTGGTACTACCTGGGTCCCCTTAGCTCTGCTGCACCTCTTGGTGTGTTGCTGTGGGCTTTTTTTGTGAGGTCAGACTCTGCCTGATGCTCACTGACTGTCCTAGAGGCACTTCTTGTGCCTCTTCCTACCCACTTGGGCAGCTAACTCAGAGGTTCTTGTGAAAGTTCAGAGCTAAATCTAACCCTATCCAATTCCCAGCAAAAATGAAGTTATCAGTCCAGGAAGAAACAAACTTATTTTGTTAATGCATATTAAACTAAGAAGTCGGTATAATCTAGATGGTTTAGGCAATGTCACTGATGACACACATATGGAGACATTAAAATGCCTTTGTAAAATATTTAGAAATATCAGAAATTACAAAATAGTAAAACATGTTTCAATGAGTACTGAAACATGCTTAAAGGTCAATGACCTACAACAGCCTCTGGCCTTCATTCTGCATTTACTGATTAAATTTTCTATTTATTTCCAAGTCACTATTACTGTTGAAGAGGTTTTAATAATAAAGTCCACATTGAATCTGGTTAAATAAACAGGATGGCACATTTCACTAATTAATTGGAGAAAGCTGAAGAAAAGATTAAGCAAAAGCAATCAGAGTTTTTGAAAAGTCTTGGTATAATCTTCACAGCACCATTTAACATAAACTGTGTTTCTTTTACAACTTGCTCATTTACTTGTAGCAAATACAAAAGTAATGGCTGTCAGTTAAATTTTTTGAACTAATCTGCAATACAGAGTCATCAAGTGAAGTCATGTATGCTCTGCATGACTTGTGGATGCAGTGAAGAGAATTCTTAAAGCAGAAAAGTAACTTGGCAAAGTGCGTGCTTTAAGCTCCTCAGTACATGCTTCTTATTGTTGAAAGAGGTTTTCAGACCCACAAATTATAAAGCTATGGAGTACATGTTTGCATCATCTTATATAAACCACTGTAATTCTAGACACCGAACTACAGATTGACCTAAAGCATTAAAGTGAATGTAGGACGTAAGAGCTGAATGACAACCAATTTATATTCTGCTTTATTCCTGAAGACCACTCTTCTCACACACTGTGTATTTTATGCTGAATTGGGAGGCAAAGTTGTGTCCATTGTGTTGCATTAGTCTAACAAAACAAAATAATTGATCCAGATATCAGGCCTGTACAGTGTAGGAGAAATAAAATAGAATGGAAAGAAAAGGCAGACAAAGCTTTATTTCTTGCAAACAAAACAACAAAAGAATATAGGTACTCAGAAGGAAATAGTTACTGATATGGGTTTTTGGAAGTGCACAAAATAAGTGCTACCAATACAGTAGAGGTGTTCTGCAGTGGAGGATGTGCACCTGAACAAATAGCTGAGGAGGAACAGTAAAATTCTGTGTCTGAAACAAAAGATATTCCTATGTTATAATGAGATTTCATATTGGAACAGGAAACAGTTGCTTTTGTGCATTTAGAAAAAGCGGTGCCCCACAGAAGTCTTTAACAATGGGAAGACATTGAGGCAGAGCTGCACTGAGGCTCAAAAACCTGCCTAAGGTGGGGGCCCTGGTACCACACCTGTAATATCCCACATATTCTGATTTCCAAGATGCTGGCTAAGACAAGAGTAGAGCTAGAATGAAAAGACACCTTGCTATGTCTTTTTCTCAAAAGTTCTTGTGGTATATTCAGCTACAAGAAGGCTTGAATAAAAAAGTTGGCAACTGACTAGTATGCAAACTATGAGTTACAAATTAAGAATCCCAATGAATTAATATATAGCATTAATTTTCTTTTTCAAAGAGAAAACAAAACACCGTAAAAGTCTCCCAACAACAGCAGGGGAAAAAAATCAACACCGCTCCCGCCCCTTTCCAATCCAGTGGTGTGTTGTCACTATGAGACCAGCAGCTAAAATTTAATTTTTCCAGAGACAGTCTGTTACAGAACTTGGCTGTTAGCATAGCATATTTCAACCTGACCATTAAGAAATAAGTGTTCTTACCAGAAGGCTTTAAATTCACTTCTTTCCACACAGTTCAACCTGTTCCCTGCTAGAATCCTATTATGCTTTTCCAATAAGGTGTTAAGACAACTGCTCCGGCTTACTATTTATGGAGCCAGTGACTTAAAATATACTGTGAAGTAAGTGGCTATTCCTTTAATCTGTGACCTTAAAATTCAACAGAGTTGATGTTTTGCTGTTCTTGTGTACTGAGCTGCCCATCAGTTGCTGATCCAATCTGGCTGATGTATCCTGTGCTCCCATTGCTGCTGAATATTGTGGCTGCATAGCTCAGTGAATTTACCTATATCAAATTTTCTGTCACCCAGTGTCTTCCCCTCTCAACATCCATACTGTGGGGCTATTAATACTATTTCTTGTTAAAAGTGGTACAGATTAAGCTGAGAATGATTAGGAGGAATGGTGGGACAGGGAAAGAGAGCAGAAGACTAATGATGACAGATGAAGTGGAACTCTTCCAGACAGAGAAAAGTTAACAGTGGCCAAAAATGGAAAAAAAACCCATATTCCTCTGCAGAATTGCCTCACATCAGGCATTGCAGAATAGCCTGAGACAAGGTATGCCCACAAGCTCAAAGCCTGTGGGCATACAAGGAGGCCCTCTCTTAACTTCACATGTATTGTGACACTGCTTCCCTTTCTTACAGCCTCAATTTCTGCTTCCTAACAATATTGCTGCCTTATAGCCCATTAAAAATGGAAAAAGGGAAAGCAATGAAGTGATAATCAGTGGAAAACATCAGGAAGCAGACCTGTTCCGTTCAGGATGGAGTCATGACCTCTGTAAATGCAAAGCTATCAAACAGAACTTTAGATTACTTAGAAACACATCATTAGTCCTTGTTGCACTGGGACTTAGGTTACTGTGAAAAAGTCATTAGTTTCTTTTCAGATTCTCTGGAGAATTTCCAAAACCTAGCCCTTGCATTTCCTCAGGTTGTTCATATGTAATTTCATATTTCAGCCCTTGTTAGCTGGCACAGTATGTGCTGTTCCAGGCTTAAATTCATAATTACAGTACCCTACTAAGGCAAAGCAATCAGGTACTCAGCTGTCATGATTTCTACTCCTAAGTGAAGTTAGACAGTACTGAAATCCACACCAGCCCTTCACAGAGGGTATAAAGTCTTTGGAAGACATTGTAATTCAGGGAGTTTGTGTACACAGCCTGCTCATACTGCAACAATCTAATAGCTCTACGATGTGTGAAACTGCTACAATTCCACTTCAAACATTGCATTAAAAATACCCTGACCTTTAAAGGGTGTTCAGTGGTGGTATTTAGTAGTCTTTTGATAAAGCCTAAAGTTAGTTCTTTACATCACAGCAGCTTGCTGGCTAACTCTTGAAATGACCTTCAGAAGTACCCATTGTGTATTTTTTTCCTGAGTATGGAGTCGAGAACCACAGGTCTTCTAGTGTTTTGTTGATTCAGTCATACTATAGTCTATGGTTTCATTATCTTACCTCTTTGCAGGGCCAGTGTGCAAGCCACCTATTTTATCCTTAGAAACAGTAAGCACAAAGCAAAAGTTAACTTCACTTAAAAATGACACAAAATTCAACTTTTCCTTAGTGTGCTATTTACCTAGAGCTCTTCCTAATTCCTTTCTAGGAGAGTGTTGCCTTCTCACGGTGGACAGTTCTATCTACATTGCATGAGCCCTTTTCCCAGGAGGCTTGATTTCTAAGGTTGCTGTTACATGGTTCTTTGAGAGGCTGTAATTCCCTACAAGACCCTCGGCTTTTAGCCATGCTCTTTTGGTCCCCTCCACACCTTTTCCTTTTTATGTTTTGTTTCTAAGACAAACCTATTCTTGTAGACTAAAAAAACAATTCTCCTGATTGTGGTTCAACTCTAAGGAAATCAGATTTTTAAAAAATAATAACTAATAATACCCTGTGTGCAAATGAAAGATTCATAATATTCATGTCTCCTGATGACTGGAAATAATTTTCTTATGGCATTGTTGCATATGCCTGTCTTTTAAGACATTTAATTGTGCTGAATTATCTATGAGCCTGGAGTTGGGAAAGCTAAAGTTTGTTCAGTTTTGAAAAGAAAAAGATATTTGCAGTATGGCTGAATATAAGATAATGTGCTTTTTCTTTTCCCTCTTTCAGCGAAGTTTTTGCTTGAGAAATACACTCAATTCGCTCAGCAAAACAAAAACCACTTTTAAGGGTTGTCTTGGTGGAAATCGCTCTATGCCCTATTACCCGCTTGAGTGAAACCAGACTAAGAACTTCTGTCATGGCAGCTTTTCTGCTGGGAGCTGTGTTGCTTATTGTTCAACCTCAGATAGTGCCTTCCAGACCAGCTATAAATTCAAATGCTGAGACTTCTTCTCAGTCTGTTCAGAGAGAGCTTTTAAAGAAAACCTCTCAGAAAAATGACTTCAAGGAGAACATTCATTCTAATGGATCATGTCAGCAGCTGCCACAGACTATTATTATTGGAGTGAGAAAAGGTGGAACAAGAGCTTTGTTAGAGATGTTGAGTCTCCATCCAGACATTGCAGCTGCAGAAAGTGAAGTTCACTTCTTTGACTGGGAAGATCATTACAGGAATGGATTGCAGTGGTATATTAATCAAATGCCATTCTCGTATCCCCATCAGATCACCGTGGAAAAAACTCCAGCATATTTCACATCACCTAAAGTGCCTGAAAGAGTTTATAACATGAACCAATCCATGAGACTACTCCTTATTTTAAGAGACCCAAGCGAAAGAGTACTGTCAGATTATACCCAAGTGTTCTACAACCACATGCAGAAGCACAAGCCGTACCCATCCATTGAGCAATTCCTGATAAAAAATGGTGAACTCAATGTGGACTACAAGGCAATAAACAGAAGCTTATACTACATTCACATGCAGAACTGGCTGAAGTATTTTCCTCTTGATCATATCCACATTGTAGATGGGGATAAACTAATCAAGAATCCCTTTCCAGAAATAGAAAAGGTAGAGAGATTTCTGAAGTTATCACCACAGATAAATGCTTCAAACTTTTATTTCAATAAAACTAAGGGATTCTACTGCCTGAGGGACAGTGGTAGAGAGCGCTGTTTACATGAGTCCAAAGGACGAGCACACCCACAAGTAGATACCCGGTTACTCGGGAAACTGCAGGAATATTTCCATGAACCCAACAAGAAGTTTTTTGAGCTTGTGGGCAGAACATTTGACTGGCACACGTTTGTGGCAAGTTAGTGGTAAGCTTCAGAACCTATGTTCCAATGTACAGTTAGAAGATTTAAAAAGGGCATTTAAGCTATTATTTATTTGTAAAATCCATAAATACTTCTGTACAGTATTAGATTCACAATTGCCATATATACTAGTTATATTTTTCTACTTGTTAAATTTGAAAGCATTTTGTATTGTTTTTCATGGTTGTTAACATTGTGTATGATGTGTCTATATGAAGAAACTAAATTATTTCATTGCAGAAGGTGCTCTCTTGAGAATGTGTTGTCTTTTTAATAAATAAGAAATTCATTTTGACAGAACATTTCTGAATTATTTGAATACTTTGGCCTTCCTGGACTATTTTCTCTAATTGCTAATGAATATGCTAAATTTTACCTTTCCATTTTTCTTAAAGTGTGGATTAATAATTTCTTTCCCATTTGAAAATACAGTTGTAGTTAACAAATTGTTCAATCCTGCTTTATGAAATTATTTCCTGTCAAAGTGGTGGTACTTACACATGTTGGGAAATGCACACCCAAAGGACAATGGAAGTCTCTGTGTAATTTGATATGTTAACTGCTATACATAACGTTCATATTCACTGTTGTAACAAGTGCTCCTCCATTCTTTGGCAGTACTGTGTAGGTTTCATGGCAGATTTTTAAAGATTCTGTGAGGACCAGCTCATAAAATACAGTTAGCTGTAGAAATATGGTGAACCTGAACACTTCCAGTCTCCGAATGTATGCATACTTCATAAAAAGGTATGGTTGAGGGAATTTAAGCAATATAGAGACTTTTCCAAGGCTGCTTTTGACTGTTCCTACATTTCATAGCACATTTATGCTTTACCATCACTGAAAATAAACACACCAGAAAAATTAGTTGGTCTGCATTCCAGTAAGCAGCAACTTCATTCATATAAATATTACCACATTTGTCCCCTACTTAAGGCTGCTTTCTATGAGTTTTCAGTTGCTTCATGCAACTGAAAATTGCCTATGGACTACTATTTGTTTAATCTCCTTCCAAGAACCATGATGCCAGGTCTTGATTAGATGTATTTTGTGGGATTAACACAAATTCCAGGAACTTGCCTTGTTTTCCATCTGCTAAAAATGGAAGTTAGGTGTTAGTACATTGGTAAAGACTTCAGTTGTCCTTATCTACAGTGGTTATGATGTCTTGTTAACCATCAGTTTCTGGAGTTAGAGTTAATCCAGTTTCCACACAAGGCTTCTCACAGTGCTTTCAATCCAAGTACTGATTTTTATTTCATGATCTTGAGTTTAGTGTTGAATGTGCAAACCCAGTAAATTTGAACTTGTAGCTGATTGTAACAATCCTTTATAAAATTAAAATGTAGATTCATTCTTTTTTTTCTGGTAAGCTAGTGCAAACTTGGGCACTATGACAAGGTATTGTCTAGATGCAAATATCTCATATTATGCCTCTTGCATGAAAATCTGCAGATGCTGTCCCTCTCTCTCCCACTCCTTGTGCACCTGCCCAAGCTGTATTCAACCTCAGAGAGGTTGGTGGTGTTTTATAAAGCCTACAATGAAATGGTATTGTACTCAATAAAATATTTTCTGAATTGCATTTTTCCTTTCTGCTTTTTTTTTCTTAAGTTTATAGTTTGGAAGACCAGAATTTAGGATTCAACTCCAATTTAGATTTCAGGTAAATGTTACTTAAGAGCTTAGCTGCAGCCTGTTGCTATTGATATGAAAGCAGTTGTTTGCTGCTGGGTTGTGCCTGAATGGTCCACTGCTGACCCAGAGTATACAACAAGAAGGGAAAGTTTCTGGTGGCAATAATGTCAAATCTTACATGAGGCAGATGCCAAAAACAACAGAATCATAGTACCATCATGTTTCTATTAAAGTTTTACAAAAGAGAAATTATGGGGATTTTGTGTAAGGTGGGGCACTATTTTTTCCTACACTTATCCCATTACCTTGGTAATGTTATCTCTGCAGGAGCCAGCTGGACCAAAGTGACTTTGGCCCAGACAAAAGACTTCCATTAGTGCCTTCCTGCAGTCTCAGATTAAGCTCAGCAAGTTCACCAAAGTTTTGCTGAGAAAGGAAGAATTCTAGCAGGCATGTGACCAGGAATTGGAGGAGTACATGAAGGCAGGGCTACAAGTCCACCTGCAGCAGGCTGAACAGGGCAGCACAGGGCATCAGTGTTGAATTGGAAATGCCTGTGCAATATTGACAGCTGATGTTTAGTGCCTAGTGCTGCTTGATACCAGTATTTTGCCTGTCTCTAGGCAGGACACATGCACACATTTCCCCACACACAATATGGCTTGTCTCTGTAGAAAGAGAAGTGCAGCATGAAGCATTAGGTCACTATTACTGTTTTAGTGCTCACAGAGCCTTGTCTGCAGGATCCAGAGGTGAAGTGCCCACTTCAGGGGACATTCTGAAGCAGAGTATCACATGACCCACATCCTCGACACCAAGTTCAGAGGGTTTCATAGAAAGTATATAATGCCCAATGCTTACAACTTGTGCGGGGATGGCATGACTGTACAATCCTTTATCCTGGAAGTAGCTCTCTGTTATCTGTGATGGTGATGAACAATAAATCACACCCACACTAATAATAACAGTAATGTTTACCTACCATAGGTTCAACAGTTCGAGTTCCAATTCTGAAAACTGTTCTGAATGTGAATGTTCTGTTTAATCAGAGCAACATTCATTTTTCACACTAATTACTGTACTTAAATATATTTACTAGGCTGTTTCTAAAGAATTGTTAGACAATAACAAAAACCATCAGAAAGTGAAGAGAGAATGAAAGAAGAAGGCCAAACCACATTCCATTTGGGACTCTAGAAAAATTAATAATGACCTTTTAAGGCATGTCATATCTGTTCATAAAAGAAAAAATTCCTTTAAATACCTTTTCAGTGTTATGCAACACAGGTATTTATTTCTGTAAAGCTCTACTAGCTCAGGTTTAAAGTACAGCCACTTGGGTGTTGCTCCAGAGACCTGTTTTCTCAGGGCACCTAGCCAAGCCTGTGATCACTCTTGAAAACTAAAATAAATAGAAGACTTTATGAGAATTCAAAGCTGGGCACTCCCCTTGAGTACAAAAAGAAATGCCAACCAAATAATTATTCAGGGTGGCACTGCAGGACTATGTCTTGCCCTTTGCGTCACAATATAGATTAGTGTGAGACTTTGAAAGCCAGATATTGTACCTGCAGAGGACAAAGATTAGACTATAGTGATTATCCCAGGAGCACTGCTGGAAGATTATGGAAAGGGAAAAGAACACCAAAGCTATTGTTTCATCAAGAGTATTTCTACATGTACTGCTGGTGCTGCATGATCTTGTTACATGTGCTTTGCTCTTCCTTGTATTTTTCCTGCTGTTAGAGGTGAAAAAACATCTACTGTGCTTGAATAAATCAACATTTCTTTGGAACATACCAGAGAAAAATCTGTCAATTTTTAAATTTTGCTGCATTCATTGATGAGTGTGTGAAAAAACACTATAGAATATTTTAGTAGAAAACTTTTTTAGTTTGGTTCTCAAAGCTGATAATTTTGTTTCCTTGTCTACTGCTATTTTCAGAGTCTGCAGAAAGCCAGGATTTCATTCCTGTTGTCATTCAAACAGATTTCAAATGCCAAAGAGAAATATGGGTTATGGAATATGGCATATTTTCATGTATCTTATGTTTTATCTATCATGGCTGACCATACATTTTAAAAATATCACACATGTACTCTATAAGTAAGAGACTGTACATCAAAACTATTTCTCGTAGGAATATTCCTTCTCCATTATTTTTTCTGAAGTCTGTGACTTGAAAATCCTAGTTAAGACCACATTGTGAATGAAATTTTGCAGGAGTATGTTATTAGATGTTTTCTAATACAGTAACAAAGTAATGAAACTAAAATAAGGCAAAAGCATTAAGTTAAACTAAATTAAGTCAACAAAATGTGTTGAACTTGGTACTAGGTATATACCTGCTGAAATAGTTGCAAGTATGTGCCTCTACAGCTGTAACAATATTTTCTCATTCTTATCCCAGCAACTTTTATTTATATGACTCTGTCCAGTGTCCAGTTATGCTCAAAATATTGGATTTTCAATATTAATTCCTTCATTTTTCCATTGATTGGAGAGGCCAGTTATGGGTGGAAGCTGTGCAAATATCATGTGAATGGAAAAAAATCATTAATAATTTCCTTTCATTTATTTTTATAAATGAGATTGCATTTATGTCTTTTAGAATTTTAGCAGAGAACAGTACTCTTTTCCTGCAACAATAACTCATCCACTGTAAATTTTCTACTTAAATACCACACAACAGTTGATGCAGTTTTTAAGTTAATAGTGCAATAAACTCAACAGTGATGCTGCAGATTTTAAATGCCTTCTGGGAAGTATAAAATATACAAGTCAGGGTGGGGAGCAGCTGGATGCATAGGAACATCTGATCTCATTGGTCTGAGAAAACTTTTTTTAATGGTAAGGAGCGTGAAATTTTTGGCTTGGAGATAACTTTATGCTGTCTATGAAAGCATTGTCTTTTCATTGGTCTGAGAAAACTTTTTTTTTTTTAATGGTAAGGAACGTGAAATTTTTGGCTTGGAGATAACTTTATGCTGTCTATGAAAGCAATGTCTTCGTTTAACTTCCAAGTCAATAATCCTATCATAATTAAATCACCTTTATACTCAGTATTTATATTATTCTCTGCCAAAAGATATTTTAAGAGCCAAACCCCAGATAATAGATGCATCCCTTAGTATAACCAAAAAAAAATTGTACAACTCTGACACATGGCTTCACTTACAAAGGCACATTGCCTCGCACAAAGAAGTGTTCTGAAACTGATGGCAAAATTCTTCTTTTCTTAATTTGGATCAAGATTTCAGAAACAGGGATATTTATACATTCACAGAAAACAGAACAACTAACATGCCCTCCCCTCCTTGGTTTACAATCAATCAGTCAGCAGTATTTCATCAATAAAGATCAGGCCAGCTTTCAGGATCCATCACAGTTCAATCCAGATAACTCTCAAAAGAAAGAGTTCTTGCAGTAATTCTTAACCAAACACTTTTCAGGGTATCTCCCATCTGTGTAATTTGTGTAATTCTTCTTTCTTTCCCTGTGTGCTACTGTCCTGTCACATCTGTGCTATTAACTATTATATTATCACCCTATCAGAAATAGATCCATTATCTGATGGTGTTTTATAGAACATTATTCAAATGAATGTGAAATCACAGCATTATGAAGCTCAGAAAATACTTTATATGTGTTTATTCTGATATGTTTTAAACTTTAATTGAATGAAATTCAGTTTATTTGGTCTGTGTCATTGCATTAGAGGAGGAGCTATTGTCACACCATCATCACATGTACATAGTTATCTAATGGTAAATGATATATTATAAATAGAAATGTATAATAAAAATAACAAAACTTTCTTGTTCCTACAGTAGCAACTATATTATTTGACATATTCCAAGACTTTTCCCCATTATACAAATGGTATCTCTGTTTATTTGAAAGTGATAAAAGTATTTTGACAACCATTCTCTTAATGCATGCAGGAATAGGGTCTTTGTTCCCTCTGTGACCTTATGTAAAACACAAAGTGCAGGAATGTGAATTATGTTCTATAGTCAATTAACAACAGTTGGTGAAGTTTTGCTAAACATCAAAAGTGTGCATGTTCTGAAAGAAAAGGAATTGGAACCATACCAGGTAGTTTTTGTTTTAATGTCTTATAATTTTCTGCCAAAATATATGTGTTCCTGTGCAAAGGGAATAATGGAGGGGGAAAAGGGCACATGCTACAGAAATAGAGCACCTACTCTATTTTACAGTGACACTGGCTGGACCTCAGCTAGGCAGCTGCATGAATAAAGGAAAGTGGATAGAAAGGGAACACTGGATACAGGTGAACATCTTGTCATAACCTCATTACTTCTGTTCATATCCTTACATATGATGAACAAGTACTCTCAACTCTCAATTCTCAGAACAACTTCTTTTCCAATTCTTGTCTGTGCCAGAGAAAAAGCATCCAAATCCATCTGGGTGTCCGTTGATTCCCATGCCTTAAGGCATTTTTAACAAGTTAGCACACTATAATGCAATTACAGTTATTCACCTCAGTTTCTAATCTTCCCCTTTTTTGTTTTTAAATTTGTACTGAGTTTTCCATCTGCTACAAATAAAAAGGTTTGATGAATAAATTATTTACAGCCTGCAGGAGGAGAAGAGTTCATATGAAACATTTTGCAGACAAGAGACTTGCAAAAGAGGATATTTTCTCATAGAAAAAAGAGCATCTGTGGACCAGTTGGTTTCTTGCTGACTAAGCCAACTGGATATGATACTCTTTTGGCAGCTTCTTTATTCTTGTGTGGGCTTCTGTTGTATGAATTCCATAAGATATTTATTATTTAATGTAACTATATGTTGAATATGGTGCATATGATGGTTTATGATGTTGGCATTTGTTTTCTAACTTAATTATTTAACATCAAATGATATTAAAACCCTAATGCAATTTTTGATAATAAACTTGCATTGTTTAATTCTCATTC